ATGTGCAAATAATTTGTGAGAAAATCTAAGTATCAAAGTGTCTCCAAGATTATGAGTTTGAACTTGAAAATGGCAGTGTCTATACAAAAAAAAAAAAATATATATATATATATAGGCTCACTGCAGGGGTGAGAGGGAACAGCAGGGGAGCTTAGTCCGGTCTTCCTGTGGAAGTGATGTTTAAACCAACACCTGAGCTTTATGTGAGGGGCCAGAGGCAAGAGAGAATATGGCGGGTGCCAGTTCCAGGTGGCTGGAGCTGGGACGCAAGAAGTGAGAAGGGTCCAGATGTTAAATAAAGCTCAAGGTGGCAGGGGGTGGGGGGTAGGTGCAAAGGTCTGGCATGAAATCTTCAGGAGACTGAGCAACAGGGAGCCATAGAGGGGTCTGAAGCAGGAACATGACATGACCAGAATAGTAGTTTAGCCAGATTTGAGAGAAGCAAGAAGAAAAGTTAAAATGAAATAGATTTCAATGTGTGCAGACTGTCAAATCTGTCCCTGGGAGAACTGATTCACTCTGGACAGACAAAAATAGTAAGCACATAGAGTACAGGTGAAATTTTCCTGGGGTGCTTATAGCTCTGGGAACACTGAGCCCATCCCTGCCTCAGCATTTCACCCACCACGTCCCCTTACCGAAAACGTTCTTTTCATCCATCCACACCCACTCATCCTTCACAAATACAGTTGCAGTCTACTTCCTCTGGAGAATTCTTTCTGTCCTCATTTGTATTTCTTTCCTTTGATCTCCTAAAGCACTAAGGTGCACACCACACAATTTAGCTCTTACTGAATAATCTGATACCTTAGTACCTCAAGCAGAATGTTCTTTCCTTACTAACAAAGACTCCACACCCCACCCACCTCCTCCCTACCTACCAGGTTCTTCCAAATGTACCAAATAATTTAGGTCCAGAGTACTGAATATAACCTTGAAGTTTGCAATCTTAGACTGACTCTTCAAAGACTCACACTTTATAAATGAGAACATGTGGACATAAGTAGTTCAGCAGGAAAAGCCAGGAGAACTAGGCTTTAGAGTTATTATCTAGCTATAATTTAGTTGAGTGACCCCATGCCAAAAAAAATCAGAAGACCCTCTAAGACAGTTGAGCATTTGTGAAGAACAAAGGCAGAATATCCAAAAGGTAAGGACAAATCTTAAATATAGTAAAAAATTAGGCAACTGCCCCATGAAAACACCTAGTAGAATCTGAAAAACAAACTTCAGTGAAATTTGACCAACTGTGCAAATGACCAAAAACCTCAGTATGGTCAGTATTGAGATCCAAAATAATGGAGTAAAATATATAAAAACAGCTCTATTTCTGGAGTAAGATGTCAGAGCATTCTCTTCCTCCCTCCCTCCCTCCTCCCCTCCCTTCTTCCCTCTCCCCCTCCCTCCTTCCCTCTCCCCCTCCCTCCCTTCCTCACTTCCTCACTTCCTCCCTTTCCTCCTTCCCTCCTCCTCCCTCTCTCCCTCCCTACCTGGTGTTGAAAATATTATCAATAGACCTGTTAATTACTGCATTCATGTATTCTTACAGTGTCTTTTTATTGGCTGTCAAGGACCATTAAATGGATCAACATAAAACAGTGTGCTACCTCTTGACTCCAGTTTCAAAATCTCAGTATGTTTCAGTAAACTATCTCTTTAGTGAGAGTGATGATGTTTGACTATAAGGCCTTGTTGAGAGTGACAACAATGAATGGGTTACACATTGCTGATCTAGATCAAGCAGTTTGTCAGATGTTACAATATGCTTATGCATTAAAGTCACACTATGCAGCAATAACCCTAAGTTTATTTTGTGTCAGTTACAGCATGATGGGGATGCCAATCACAAAGTTCTCCTTACAGGTAGGTTAGCATTTCTATTCTAGGTCCCCATATTCAAAAGAGTTCATAACTTGGTCACAAAAACTAATCATGGAATGAATCTTGGCATATGAAAGTCACTTCTCAGAAGATTAAAAAAATACAAATTAGAAAAAAGCCCCAAGTGCTTTGCCATTCTGATGTTACCCACAGGCCCCAAAATGAATCAGCAAGTCAGCAAGTCCTTTTCCCTTATTTCTTTCTTTCTCCAAGGAAATTGTGTACTGCAGGGCCCTTGGGTCAGTTTTTAAGCTGACTCGTCTGGAAAAGGTATCACCTGGAGGGAAAGAAGTTCTTTTCCAGGCTGGGCAATATAGTTGAGACCCAGTCTTTATAAAAAAATTTAAAAAGATAAATCAGCCAGGCATGGTGGCTCACACCTGCAGTTCCAGCTACTCGGGAGGTTGAGGTGGGAGGATCACTTGAGCTCAGGAGTTCAAGGCTATAGTGAACCATGATGGTGCCACCACACTCCAGCCTGGGTGATGGCACAGTGAGACCCTGTCTTAAAATAAAAAAAAAAAAAGGAATTAGAATTAAGTTCTTTTGTGCTACACAAAGATATTTTCCTTCAGGTGGTGATGGGAGGAGGGGAGGTTGGCTAACACTTAAGTTTCAAGTTTGAGTTCAGGGCTGTATTTCTGAATATGAACAAGATGCTATTGAAACTGTTCATTTAGATGCTCTCTCTCTTTAAACAATCTCTAAAATTTTATATTATAGAAACTGAGAACAAAGATTCAATCTTGTTTTCCCTTGCAACTATAGTAATAGATATTTACTGACGGCAAACTGTTCCAGATATTTTGTGAACATTATTCCATTTAATACTAATTTTAATATTGCAGAAAGGCACCACTTACTGCCTTTGTTTTATAAATGAGGAAACTTACGCTCAGACCAGTTAAGAAACCTGCCAGGGGACATACACTGAAGCTGAAACCCAGGAAACCCAAGCCCATAATAAGTTAAATGTGTGTGTTCTATTAGCTATATACACTTTTTAGCATGACACACAAAGGTAGGTCATGCTAAAAAGTGCCAATACCTATGTGGAAGAAAATACAGTTAAATATACACTCTAAAGGTCTTAATGTTGTTAACATGCAAGTGTCTGAATGGCAACTGCTAGGGCTTTGTGGGGCCAGGCCTAAGTAAATGCTGATATAGGCAGCCCCTTCACTTAGCCCATCCATTTTTGCCCATATTGTCTTTGGCAATTTCTGTAGTCATCTCCAATTCATTAAAAAAGTTTACTACAAGAGTTAATTGATCTTGATTGCTGGTGGGTAGCATTAACTCAAATACAGAAATGTTCTTGCTCTCCAAGACGACTCCTATTTTAGGGCCTGGCCACCGCTAGGCTAAGCTTTGTGGGTTACCCTCAAATGATGACCCGGATTCATGTAAGGTGAACTTGTCCTCAAACGGCTGCTGGCTATTAAAGTTTAATTTTGATCAGATCTTCTTCCAACATTTAGTAGTACAATTCCAACTCACTAGGTTTTCCAGGTTTTTCAAAAATCACTTTTCCTTTTCATTGTTAGTAATTTTAATCGGAGAAAGAAAAAAAAATCTCAAATGCACAAAATCTTTTACCATGTTTCATCTTTTTAATAATGTATTTATTTTTATTCTAAGTCCAACAGGCAAAGACCAAGTCAATTTCAGTATTTGGCACAAAGCCTGCTGCAATATTGATGCTATAATATCAATCATGATTATAAGTTACTCTGTTATCATTATGTGAATATTATTTTATAAGCTTTAATAAGATGCTTGAGCATTTAAGTTGAATGGTTTAAAGTCTAAATTCATATTCATGCCAAATATGTAGGACATATTTTTCACAATTGTTCTTGTCCCTTGGGTCAGTAATATACTTTATAATCATCATAAAATTTCATTCTTAATTCCTTTTAATTTATCAGAAGGAAAATATGGATGGTTATTGCCCAATTAAAATACTCCTGATGCTTTTAAGGTAGATATTATTGGGGTTTTGGAGTTTCACTGAGGACAATTAAAAAAAAAGAGCAGCTGCATGGCCTCAAAGTGTTTTTAAGTGCTCCAAGTTTCCAGAGATACCCAGCTGTTCAGCAGTTCCCTGTCCCCTGTGTCCTGTTCTCGTATCATCTGTGATGTAATCAAGGAAAGACTGGAATATTTTTCCCACATGAAGGGTGCAGGAGCATGTGACTAGAGATAGAATTTTCACTTGGTACCTAGAGAATCCATTCTGATACTTATGTACACTTGGCTTACAGTTGCCAAGAGCAGGACCTAGGAAGAAGGTCACCAAAAAACCTGAGATAAATGCATGAATTTGAGTCTGCCTCCTTGGCTAGACATAGTACCACTTGCTTCGTGAGAGACACAAGAGGTGTGCTCTTGGAATGGGTGCTTTTTGAAGGTGTTTGCTAAGGGCATTTTCTGTAGACAATTCACATGATACTGACTAGAAAGCAAACTGGTAGGTGCCCATACACAACCCAGTAGAGCAGACTCTGTTACAAAAGCTACAGTTTCTTCCAGAGAAATTAAATGAATCAAAGTGATTAATATTTATAAAATAAAACATATAGTCAGAAAAACTGCATTTCAGTTCATATGAAAAAATTACAAACAGAATTCAGTCTGACCCTTCTTCATTTGATGCACTTGATTTCTACTTTGCTCTCGATTTCATCAAGATCTTAAGCCATAACTGTATTGAAACCTATTTTTATTTTCTTCCCCTCACTTATCAGAATATTGTAATTTTATATACACGTGTTCAGTTATCTGAAAAGAAAGTCCCCAACTGGCCGGGCGCGGTGGCTCAAGCCTGTAATCCCAGCACTTTGGGAGGCCGAGACGGGCGGATCACGAGGTCAGGAGATCGAGACCATCCTGGCTAACATGGTGAAACATCGTCTCTACTAAAGAATACAAAAAACTAGCCGGGCGAGGTGACGGGCGCCTGTAGTCCCAGCTACTCGGGAGGCTGAGACAGGAGAATGGCGTAAACCCGGGAGGCGGAGCTTGCAGTGAGCTGAGATCCGGCCACTGTACTCCAGCCTGGGTGACAGAGCCAGACTCCGTCTCAAAAAAAAAAAAAAAAAAAGAAAGTCCCCAAAGTTCATAAACTTCTAAATGTTTACTTAATATTAAGATGAAAGCACTCTTAAGGAAGGATACTATGAAGATGCCTTAAGATTGTTGGCAAGTCCAGGGTTTCAAACAATTGGTGTTCTTCTCCAAAAAGAGGAGAGTCTTTGCAGTGGGAGCATAAGGATTAGTTGGTGGATGTGGTAAAGGCAGACAAGTTGATTGAAATATATGCAAATAGCTTTCATTTGGAGGTGTGTTATAGTTTACAAAGAGCTTTGGCATGCACATGTTGTATCATTTGGTAAATATTAGCATACCCACCATTCCTAGAAGCAGTTCAGTTGTCTTCTAACACACTGCTCATTTGTGAATATTTTCTTTTTGAACAGGCAAATTTTCACTTGAAATATTGAACTGCAGGATCAATATCACATATCATAAGGGGTGATAAAGTCATATGCATTCTTAAGTAAAAATAACACCACATTCTTAAAAGAACATTTGTTTGTTTATTACTTAAATGGGTTTCAGCCACTAGCGTACATTTGGCACCAGTTGCTGTGTTTTGCTCTAGCCCGAGACTCTAATGCCTGAGCACTAGTTACTCTGGTTCTAAAAAGCTACGAATTTTGATATATGGCTCTACATTATGAAAGCTTACCTCTTTATGGCTTCAACCAGAGGAGTGTATGGCTCCGGGCTTTTCTTTTAGGCTCTTTGACCTAGAGAAATGAAGCTTGGAACAGGGGATCTGCAGGCACTAACTTGTAGAGGAGAGTGCCAGACCTGCAGGCAGCATGCATTCAGTGAGCTGGGAAACTCTAGTTAGGGAACATGGAGTCACTAAGTCTTTCAAAGTAGGAAAGGAGCCCCAACTGTTAAGGCAGCTAGCCAAGCAGGTGACAAACTGTTGTACTTCAAAGACAGGAAATCCCTTTAAACGTTAAATTGTAAGGACACAAAATGACCTACATTCAGGAAAACAGGGAGTCAGTAATTCCACATCAGGCTTGTTCCAGTTTATTGAAGCGTGTCTGCTGGATATTAACTGGTCCTAAGGATCCTACTCTAAGTAGATGGCAGCCTTTTCCACCGGAAACCCACATTTTCAACATCTTATTTTTTAAAAGTCATTCGAGTTCACATCAGATTGAAGTTACTATGTAAGTACTGTCTCTGGGACAGTTTTCAACCTTAAAATTAGTCTAGTTTAAAATTACAGTTACTCAATGTTTAAGAAATCTATGAACATGTTTAAAAAATCTTCTGAACATCAAAACTAAGAGAAGGCATCAGTATATAGCGCAGTCTTAGAAAACAACTGATGGATTGCTTAAAATTGGAAAGACAGCCTAGAAGTGCCCCAGTATCAAGGCATAGGACTTTCCAGTAGCTTTTCCCAGCTCAGAAGGCAAAGTCTAGATGGATTTCCTGCCAATCCCCAAAACTACCTAGGGCTGTGGATGTAGCAGTTTGAAACATGTGTCAATACTAAATACTTGTCCAACTGGCTTGGAATAAAGGGAGGGCTGGGGGTGGGGATGGCTGAAGGGAGCAGAGAAATGGCATATGCTATTTTCTCAAGGCAGGGCCTCTGTCCCCCAGCACTTGAAGAATTACTGAACAAATGTGTAAGTGGGAAGGAAATGGATGGGTGAAAGTTAACTTCATCTCAGCACAAAAAAGTTGCCTTTCCATGCTTACATTTTCAAAATGCAAAAATCCAAAAAGCATTGATATTGGAAAATTCCTGGGAAACAGAAAAGCTTAACCATATTCCATAATTTTATTAATTTAAGACTTTCCAAGCAGGGAGATCAAACTTAACTCTGCTTCCAGCTTACAAAGCAAGTCAACTTATTTTGTATGTATAGCTATAAACTGTTTGCAAGTTTCCTCAGTCAGGTACTCGGGATGAATTATGAATGGAATTAGCTAGCCTGACTTGGAATTTCCTCACTTTTACTGGTCTTTAAACAAGATTTTTATATATTCATATGTAATCGATGGAACCAACACATGAAATGGTCCTTCACATAAAACACTCTCTTTTAAAGTGATTTTGCAGTTAAGGAAACCTAAATATGAACTTCTGATGTGGAAAAGGTAGTTTTTACATGCTATTTAGAAACTGATCTGAAAAACTGATGAGCTGACCACAAGATTTCTGTCAGAAACTGAAATTAGGATTATATTTTAAAATATAATTGTAAATGCTTGCTTTCTTTCATAAAACCAATCTGCTTCTCATATTCCTAGCCTTAGTCACATTGAAAATACATAAATTTGGTATTTGGTTATTGAGTTTTGAAGTTGCAAGGCAGGATAATTTAGATATTCATAAATACAGAGCATAAGAAAATCCTTCCTGAGTGCAAAACTACCTTTAAAATCATCATCCAAAGGAGTGAATGCCACAGCTCCTGATTTAATTTTGGCTATTAGCTATTTCATACCTTAATATACATTCTTCCACATAAAACTTTGCACTGTCTTAAAACTTGCCTACAAACTGGTATGTCCAAATTGTGTGCGTAAAAAAAATAAGATGAAGATCGATGTCAAGTTTTCAAGAAAGAAATGAATTTGGATTGGTTTTTACACCAACAAGACAGATGTTCAAATTTATCCCATGTATATAAAAAGATTAGTATAAAATATTTTCAATTGTTTATGCAGAAAGTAGTAGGGAACAAATTCCAATAATTTTTATCACATAGCTGATATAGCTAAATATTTGGAACATTTAAAATAAAAGTGCTAATTAAAATATATATAAAATTTTCAAAGTTTAAAAAGCAGTTGGAAAAATACTTTTACCACTTAGAATACAATTACCTGCACAGCTTAATAGTCTCATAGATTTCAGGAGTAAAATGTGTTTGGAAACGTCTTTTCCATTCCCTCAAACCTATAGTAGGCTGAGAATATAACTCTTTCTTCATAATATATTAAAAAGTATCCACCATCTTGAGAGAACTATATATTATGGTAATAATTTTTACATCTGATTATGCCATTTTTAGACTATGGAATATAGTCTCTGAATTCTTTTGGCGGGGAGGGAAATGGTGTGGAAAAAATACTTTTAAAACGTGTTTCTATCTTCATTTAAAATGTATACATTCTCAAGTTTCTTAACAAAAAGCTTTGATCTCACTATTTTATATAGACTGCATTTACAGGCTTGGAAATCCTGTTCTCTCTATTAAACTCCTTAAACAGGATTATATTAATCTTACTTTAAAAACTACTTACAGCAAACGTGGTGCTCAAAAGAATTAAAAATAATAGTTGCAGTGTTTTAATATTTATGAAAATGTTTTTTGAAAGACAGATGAACTTTGAAATGTGAACACAGAAAAAATAATAGAAGTATAAAGTTTCCTTTCAAAACTTTTCCTTTCGAAGAAATATTTATCCTACGTTTCTACATGCAAAACTTTTAAGAGTAAACTATTGAGAAAATCCTAGATAGTAAAACATTTGTTTCTGTAAGTTCATAAGCACTTGCTGTACATACTCAGAGGCAGCCCTGACCCACTGTATCCACAAATGCATCTGCAGGGGGAATGGTTCCAAGTCAGTCACTGAGTGTCATCTGTCCCTTCTCCAGGAGCAGGGACATTGAGTCACAATGAAATTTTATTATTTATATGCATTCTTTTAAATTCTGTTTTTCTTAGCGTTCAAAGCTTTGATAGTAAATGTCAAACCACACTGAAGTTGACTTGTTAGCTTTTTTAGCTAGCCTTACTGCTGTCGGCTATTTCAAATTGCAAATGACAACAAACAGGTGGTTTTTTTTTTTTAATCACTAAAGAGCATCCCTTTTCATATAGCTAACATAACAAAAAAGTCTAAAACATGGGCATATAATTCCCACTGTAAATTAATTCTATTTATTTCAGGCTTACGTATTAATAGCAAGTGAATGCTTTTCAAGAGATCCTTGGCTGTTCCATTTGTCCTTGAACATTAACCTTGCCACCTCAAAACTCAATGCCTTTGCACTTAGTCTAGAAAATTAAAAATACAAGTCGTCCTCATCTTAGTAACCTGTGCAAGTTTCTACAAGTGACTGGAGGATCTACGTGGTAACTAACTTTAACTTACCTCTTCTAGGCTTTATTAACGAGTTTATCAAAAAATATTAACTTTCTGGCAAGATGTGGCTAATTCTTAAATGCAGCTTAAAACTTTGGACATCCCCCTTATAAAAATGATGCCACGAAATGTGCCACTGTCCATTTATTTCCCATTCCACTTAACGCATTAATATTGACCCTCAGGACAGCTGCGCTGGCATCATTTTGGAGCTGCAAAGCAAGACGTGGTGGGTTGATGAGCTAAAAAGGACCCGTCTTTCACTGGGCCCCTTACCAACATCTCTCTCCCTAGAAGACAAATACTTTTCAGATCTCGCACCCCTCTTTACAAACCTGAGCGGGGCTTTCGGGGTAGGGGGAGGCAAGACTTTGGTGGGAGCTGCTCGTCTTCAGAAAAGCGAGGGCCGGCTGCAAAGGCGCAGGCTGGCAGTTCTGGTCATTTCCTGCCGATTTCCGATTCCCCTCGGAGCAGCTTGGAGAGGAAGTCGAACTTCTTTTCCAGGCGGAGCCTCCACGATGGGCGCGGGAGCCTCTTGCGTGGGCCGGGATCGTGGCCTGGGAGAAGCGGGAACCCGGTGCCCGCCCGCGTCCTCGCGCCTTGGCCAGGAACCGGAGACAGGCGCGTTGGGTCGGGCCCGAGGCGGGCGGCCCAGCGCGGCTGGGAGGGCCGGGAAGAGGGGTCCCCGGAGCCGCGGATACGCTGAACTCCGGGGAGGGGATGGGCAGGAGAGAGAGCACACTCCTGGAGCCGCGGCGTCCAAACCCGGACGCACTTGAACCCGCGGCGAGGCCGGTGGCCCGCGGCCTTTGGATCGCACCCGCGCCCCACGCAGAGCCGGACGCCGGCCTTGCCGGCTCCTCGGCATCCTTCGGCCGGGCGATCAGTCCCAGGGCGCTCGCTGAGGGCCACACACTGTACCCCGAGTTTAGCACCGCGGCGGGCAGGGAACTCTGCTCCCGGACCCCGAATCTGAAAGCGGAGACCGAGGGCTGCCTGCGGCAAAGCTCCACTTATACTTCATTTTCTTCCGATTTGGAGAAAATGTCACGGGCGAGAGCGGAAAAAAAAAAAACTTAACTGTAAATATGATTTGGAGCGGGGCGAGGGCGCGACGTGCGCGCGGTAGCGGGCGGCGGGCGGCGCGGGCGCGGGCGCGGGCGCCCTTGCGGGGATTCCCGGTCTCTCAGCGCGCTCTAGTGGACACCCTGCCTTTCGCCGGCTCCCCGTGCTGGTTACAATCTGCAATATATTATTCCTTCCGAAGTATTGACAATGTGTGAGACTCCAGTAACCCCCAAGCTCTCGTCTGTAATCAGCACATTTATCCACATTTAGGGGGGAAAATCCGAATTAAATCCCCGTGACCCTGATTGGGTTACAGTGTCATTTTCCCTGGATCCTCTTTTAAATCCACTCCACACTGCTTCTCTGTCTATTACATGCTAATTTAATTTTACTGTGGAAGATATTTTCAGCATTTGCTGAGGACAGTAAATTTTGTAGTTTATGTTATTTCACTTTTTATGACTTTTTAACACTTAATAAAATTTTATTAGAGCACTTTTGTGTTTACAAGGCCACAAAACTCTTGGCAGGTTGTCAGAAGTCCTTTTTATTATGATCCTACTGATATACTGCGAGTAATGAAATAATCATGTCCAGAAATGTATCAAAGGCCAGAGGGATTATCCCACTTAATAGCTCCACAGATGCGCCCAGAAGAATGTGGACGCGCGACAGGACGGGCTGAAAGGCTGCAGGAGGAAGCAGGCAGCCCCCGCTCCTGGCTTTACCATTTCGGTTGCTTTCCTAAAAGGCTACATGCAGGGTCATGTGACTTTCCGCGGTCTCAATTAAAAAAAAAAAAAGAAAAAGAAAAAAAAAAGTATTCATTCTATTGCAAAATATGCTTTTCTTTTTATTCTCCTTGTGTGGGCATTTAAGGCTGTTCTAGTGGCAGTGAGGCTGGCTGTACATATCCATGTCAGTCACCGTGCCTGGCCCCACTTTCCTCTCATTTCTAAGTGTACTTTTGTGGCATTTAAACAGCCGATGGTGACATTGGTGTTGAGCGGTGTTGCTTCCACAGCCCACACTGAAGGCATTGGGAGGGACCCAGGAGGGCACAAGGTGTTTTAAGACCCTTTCCCACCTGCCAAACACCTTTTGCTGTTGGCTTTTGGTTTTATTTTGTTTTGCGAAACAGGGGAATAATGACTTAAGGACTCGGCTTTCTGCCTTGTGCCTTGTGCCAGACAGCCACAGTACACTGCTTTTATTTTATTTTTTGGTAAGACTTGCAGTGAGAAGGACTGAGAGATAGCTTTCTTTTAAAAAAAAACATTTCCTTTTCTTTTAAATAGATAAGTGATCATTTAACACACGGGTGTTAAGTTCATTCTTGCTGCAAAAGAAGGCTATTGTATCTCCTGACCCTGAAAGCAAGGTGGGTGGCTTTGTTTTACAATTAAATTTTCTGTCTTCAGTTTCATATTTCTCTTTCTCTGTTATTTCCTAAAGAGTGTGTCAAAGTGATAAAAGAGGTGAGGAGTGGACTCAAACAGAGTGATTTTGAAATTACTGTTGGTGCATCCATAGCACGTGTTCTTCTAAACTTCGGCTTTTTAAAGATTTCAGCAGGATTTTTCACAAGCAAGTGTGCGTGCGCGCGCGTGTGTGTGTGTGTGTGTGTATTTCATGCTCCAACATATCACATTAGGATTTTGTAATCTGTCACTGTTTAAAACAGCCTCTGGGAAGTGCGCCTCTCTCTGGATTGCCTCCATCACATATGTGTGTTCTCTCCCATTCAGAAATACATAAGGCTGCTCATGACCCTCTTTGATTTCAACTTCAAGGGAGCAGTTTAGTTTTTTGTATGTCGTTTGCTAACCATGGACAAAATTTAGCGCCTAGTCTAATAGTCTCCTATGTGTCTGTGATGGTCTAGATTCTGAAAAGAGCTTATGGAGGACTGCAGCCCTCCCTTAAAAACAATTATGTCCTGAGGCCGTTTGGGCAGCCATTTATCTCCTTTTCTGGTATTTTCTGTTTGCAAATATGAGTCAGTTTTTTCTTTTTTTTGTCTTTTTCAAATTATTTCTCTAACAGTTAAAGAACTAGGAAAGACAGTGATGTTACGGCCTGACTAAACATTGTTTCTTCGTTCTGCTTACTACTGATAGCTTGTTTTCTTTGCCTTTTACCACACGAGACACAAGACATGACATGGAGCAGAGAAAAAGGTTCTGATCTTAGCTATCCAAATTCCAGAGTGTTTTGCATAAGGGAATTTATGCTCAAGTTCAGGAATCAAGAGGAGCATATTAATTTTCATTCTGCTATGAAGTGACAGTTCAATTTTATGAGTAATTTGTGTCTAGGACAATTTAAATAATACTTGAAAGCCTGCAGTAGCTTTCAAGTTAGAAATCTATTGTGTTCAATTATGAAGTAAACCTCCCCTAAGGTAGGTCTATTTAATGCATCAAAGTATGTTTTTAACTCTTATTCAAAACAGCAAGAGCTTGGTTTAAATATGATAACTGATGACACACAGCTTGCTTAATGGAGGGCTAAGTAGTGTCCACAGGGACTTTACAGTCCCTTCTCAGGTCTTCAGTGACGAAAGGAAAGAAAAGAGTGAACCCTCAGTCTTTTCATCTAGAGAATCCATCTTCAAAAGCAGGAGTAAAGGAACCACCCCAGAGGCATGCAATGGTCTCCTCATAAGAAAAGGTGCTGTTACAAAGCAGTAAGGTATTGGTGATACCAGGGCAGACCCTAGAACCACTTTGCTTGTTTCCAATCCAATTCTGCTGTCTATTACTGTGTGGCCCTGGACAAGTTATGTAACCTCTCTGTGATTAGTTTTTTCATCTGTGGAATGAGACTGATGCTAGTAGCCCCCTCTTAGTTTTGTTGAAAGGTTAAAAGAGTTAATTCATATGAAATGCTTAAAACAGACCCTAAGTGCTTCTTAAACTCCAGGAAGACTGACATCTCCATCACCTGGCACAGTGCCTGGCACACAGTAGGTCAATCAATATTTGTTGGATGAATGTTGAATGTTATTTCACTGACTGCCCTAGTTGGTTCAGGTGTGACCCATGAAACAATAACTGAAGCACTATCAGCCTCAGGTGTGAACTTGACTACTGAGAGTGGGCAGCACTCCAAGAGAAGTTTTATCCAACTGCAATTGTACTTTTTCTATGGATTTCTGTGTTGTCTCCTTGATTAGTAATCAGGTTATAAAGCTTTTAAGAAAAGAGAGCATCCAAAATTTTGAGGGGTCTCTATAGCACTCACCGCAGTGCTTTGTACATAAGTAATAGACAATTGGTAAGACAGTTAATATGCCACACATATCAAAGCAGTTTGTATTACAGTCTTTTATTCAATAAACGGTAGTTACAGGCACTATGCAAAATCTTTTGCATACATTGTTTCATTTTATTCTCACTCTAATTTTCATACAGGTAGTTACAATCCCTATTTTATAGTTAAGGAAAATTTGAGGCCCAGAGAAGCCTAGTGACTTTCCCAAGGTCACACAGCTAGTAAATGACAGGTCTGGATGTTTAGTCCAGGTCTATGGAAATATCAAACCTATACAGTAAATGCTATCCGGCACTGCCTCCCAATCTGTTTGGCTTTTTAAAAGAGTCCCTAATCAATCTGGTCATTTACAATTAATGTGTAAACCATAATGAAAATGGAAATGATTAAGGTTGGGACCCAGGCCTGTTATTCTTGAATTAGTCTTGTGTGGTGGTTGGAATACTAGGCCCAGCAGGGTAAGACACAGGCCTGCCTCCCAGGGCCTTTCATGTCCTCAGCTCATTCCACCACTGCATGTAGATATTTGAAAAGGGCCAGAGGAAGAGTCAGGGTTACTTTTTCCCCTCTGTGGAAAAACATGATGAAGCTGAATTTACCTCAACTTGTATTAAAACATCAAGTGAACAGATTTACATATTGATTAAAGATGAAGAAAGGAGAACTCAGACGAGTGGGTGGCAGAGCAGTTTTTCATTTTAACCAAACGTTCTTTCTTTATGGCCTTTAAAGATATGCATTCTTCCAAGATGCTTGATGGCTGTTCTGACCATTTCAGGGAATGAAGAACAGCCTGAGACCATAAGGAAAGCCTTGATTCATGTACAAGTTTCTTTAATGAATAAACAAGAGTCATTCAGGAGTGCCCTGCTGTAGCCATGTGATTCATTTTGTACCCCCGAAAACAAATATGTACAGAACCCCAAAATAGGAAGCTAAGGAGCCTGTGAGTTATTCTAAGGAAAGTGCAACACCCCCTATTAAAAACTCCATCCATGGATACATTTCAAAAGTAGATGCTGAAAAGTTAGAAGTCACTGGTGCTACCTGGTAAATCCTATACTATCCCTGAGAAGGCAGAAGTCATTCTTAGGTTTATAGAGGGTCTACTACGGCCAAAACAGTTAGAATTAATCTTGGACTCATGACTTCGTGGCTGTATTGCTTGGACAGGGGGAGGGAAATGGGGGGAGGAACTGAGGGATACCTCCAAAGAACTCACAAGTCTGCAGAGACCAAGCTCACTGCCTAAATACAGCAGTAGCAGACTCCAAACCTCAACTTGCTGCTCAGGGAACCCCGGGCAGTACCAGGCTTTGGTGGCTTTGCTGGAAAAGAGTTCTGGGGTTTACCAGCCCTCTCATATATTTAACTCTGGGCACTCAACTCACCTTAAGTCTTTGAGTTTTCTTATTGAAAGAGACAAGTAATCATACCTTTAACTTACATTTATGGGTTTTTTGAATAAAGGATATACTTATAGTTTTGAGCTCTTCACTGTGGGAAGTCTGATTGATTTTTTTAACAGATGAGGAATTTGTGTCTTGATGAATATTTGCTAAAAACAAGAGAAAATGTTACAAAGCAACATCAACTGCGGAGTTCAATCCCACAAAAATAAAAATGTAGCACTATATACCTTGAAACTAAGGTTAGACTTTCTAGGAAGAACATGGAGGAAATAAATGCTCAATCCATATTGCAGCAGACATAATTCTAAGCCACCAAAACTTTTAAGGACCTTTGAACCATTTTCTTCCAATTTGCCTTGCCTTTCCTTCTGCATCTGTGAACTTGCCAAGTTAGAGTTTATTGCTGTAACAGGTTTTGAATGATAGTGTATCTGTTTTGAAAAGGTCTGAGTACTTTTTGATTATTCGATGGAAAGAATGTGTGCTTTTCCTTTTTTATGTATCTTTCAAACCAACTGCCTTGATATAAATGAAATCTTTAAAAAATATATTTACCCTTTTTAGACTAAGATCAAACATTCTGTTCCATGAAAGTCATGAGTGGTTGCTGAAAGGAGGTTATGAATAAAATGGTGTCTCCGCTTGAACGTCAGCAGCTAACCTGCATTTATTCCTCAATTTTCAGAACCTAGAATAAACACAGTGATTAGCAAGGCCAAAATACAAAACCCCAGGATGTAAAGCTGTGAGCACAGGGAGGCTCCCAGGACAGGAAGCCACTGGAAGCCGGTTGCTAGGAGACACTCGTCTTTTGCCGGCAGCAGGAAGATGTCCTTGAGCATGGCTTCCCCTGTGGTTGGCTTTGGACAAGCCGTGAATCAGACTGTCCTTGCTAGTGCTGCCCTCCCAGCAGGGCCGACCAGCCCACCATACAGGTGCCACTGAGGGGCAATGGTGGGTTCTGTTTCCTGGGAGAGTTTCTCACACATGCCCAGCTTTTCTGATGTGCTCTTCTGAAATCAACAAGCATTTGATGTCTACTCTGGGTTATAAGATTGTGGAAAAAAACCAGCTTCCTGGGTGGTGCTTTTTAGGTGAGAATTTTAAAAAATAAAACATACCCTAAATTATATGAAACAGCCCACAAGAGCTGTAGGAAAAAAGAGAGAGAAGATAATGAGTTAATGGTACTTAAAAGAGACTTCACAGAGGAGAGAGCATCAGAGCTGGAGGATTCACATAGGGAGGAGGATGCTGGCAGGGAACACCCTGTTTACTGTCAAGAGCTCTCTCGGAGGGCCCTTGATGGCAGTGAACTTCTCTTTCTTGCTCCCAGAAGCATCCCCAGTACATAGGACAGTATTTGTCAGAGTGTTCAGTGTTCAACGGCTGAACAAATGCGGGAGAATGAAGATGCTGAAGATGAGCAGAGGGGCTTGGTGGTCATTGTTGGTGTTCCAGGGAAAAACCAGTGGAGAGAATGCTGAATGAAGAAGGCTGGCCTCATTGTTATGAGTCTGTAGTGGAAAATGGTAAGAAATGAGGTGGCCGGGTAAGGTGCAGACCGGTTATGAAGACTCCTAAAAACCAGACAGAAAATGGCTTAAAGAAATTAGGGAGCTACTGTGGGATTCTGAGCCTGGTAGAGATGAAAGTTTTATGGTTTACAAATGCTTCTTTCCAAATGCATCATCGCTTAACATGTACAGTTTATTATATGTCCATTACAACTCAATAAAGCTGTTAAAAATACATGATCTCATTAGGTGTTCAATATTTGGTGAAATGGACCTTATCCTTATTTCATTTTTACAGATGAGGAAACTGAGACCCAGAGAGGTTCTTGGCTTGCCTGAGTTCAGACGTTTCAGATGACAAGTCCAGACTTCCAGGTCTTCTGCCTCCACATCCCTCATTTGCTTCTTTCTGAACGCAGCTCTCTGCTGAGGAACTTGGAAGGAGGCTGGCCTGTGGTTGGAGAGGCCAGTTGGGAGGCAGTGGCAGATGACTGTTTGCAGTTTTCTCTCCCTCTCTCTCCCTTGCTTTCTTGTCTATGCTTCCCTCACCTTCTCTTCTTTTCTCCTCCGTTCTTCTTCCCTGACCGTGTCTCAGACCTCTGGGTGGCATCCTGCTAAGCTGCACATGTGGGGGTTGCTCCTTGTCTGTCACAGCTGCTGAGGGGCCAGCTTTGGTGCAGTGCTGTGCCATCTGGACATGAAGGGCAACACCTTTGGGACCTGCAACATTACATCTGTGGCACCTCTTTGGAGAGGTCTGATGTAAAAGGGAACACAAAGAATGAGATTTGGAACCCATGAAATATTACTAAGATTCAGACAATACGTGGGAATGTTGCATTTAAATATGCATTTAACAGGTCATCTTAATCATCTTCCAGACCTAGCTTCAAAAACATTCACCCAGTTCTCACATGTGTGAGTGAAAATCACTTAGATTTTGACTTGGATATTACATGGCCTCAACCAAAAGCAAGTCAACCAAATTAGAAAGAAGGCAAGATGCTATGGGCTTTGGAGCAAGATGACTGTGAAATTCAATCTGGATTCCTCCATTTTCTAGATGTCACTAGTACTAGATGCTACTTAGCCTCTTTGGGCCTCAGTTTTCTCATCTGTAAAATGGGAATAATGAGTCCAATTTAATAGGTTTGTACAGCAATGAAATAACCAATGTATTGTGTACAGTGCCAGGCATGCGGTGAGCCCTCACCTTGTGAATGGCAGTGCTAGCATCCACATCAGCTCATCATCTTCATCAGCAGCATTACCTGAAACACTCTGTCCTCATCCAGGACATTAGAGGAAAACAGCCTTGTTTTCTTTAGGTTTTGGATTCTCCCAAGGCTGAAACTTGTATTTGTAATGCTATAACTTTGATAATTTTTTCCCTTAGGAGTTCCTTCAGCAGCTTTTTTTTCCTACCAATTTGCATGTGTAGAGTTATTCAGTAGATGACACCGAAGAGTTTCATAGTGAATGTTTGTTGAGTGAATGTATGAAATGAACAATACCACCACCTCCAAAGCAAGTTTATGTTCTCTTGTTGATTCTAATGAGGATTTTGTTTTGAATGGGGTAGGTGGTGGTGGTTGGTAAATGGTTTTGATAGCCAGGAGTGATGTGGCACAGGTGGTTGTGTGGGGTCAGGGATGGCTAGCCCATCAACCCAATCATTTGGAAATTCCTTTTCATTATACTGCAAAGCAACCAGCTAGAAAAGGAAAATCTAGTTAACTAGTTCTTTTATGGAAAACATCCAAGTTGGCAGAAGTTTTTTTTTTGTTTTTTGTTTTTTGTTTGTTTTGTTTTTGCTGAATGTCTCCTCACACCTCCCTGATGGCCCGGCTAGATTGACTCATTATTTCCAACCCACCAGCTTGACCCGACAGAGCTTCTGTGACAGAACCCCTGCTCAGAGCTCCTTCTATCCCCAAAGCGCTCTGCTGGCTGCTCTGGAGAGTGTGGGTTTGACAGTCTCCAGTCTCCCCTCCATTGAGTCTTACCTGCTTCTAACAATCCTTTCACGGCTGAACCCCAGTTTGCATCATGGGTATAGACAAGGTGTAGAATACACCTTGTTAACAGTTGAATACATGGCAAACGGGAGTAGAATTAAGACAGAGAAATAACAGTAAAGAGATCAAGAAGCCTGCTAGTGTGAAAGGCAGTTTGGGCCGCTAAATCACATCTTCCTAAGGGGTAATATACAAGCAACTGGAAACAACAGGTGTCTTCTTAACAATAGACATATATACACCCTTCAATCTTTTAGTTATGCTTTGGGTTAAAAAAATGTTTAAATATTAGGCCTATATTTTCCTTTATTACCAGAAGCTCTTCTTCCAGATTCTACCAAGAAAGCTCATACTAACAATAATGTCATATAGGTTCTAAGATCGTGGGAAACCTCACTTAACTTCAAAGCCCCTTCATTAGAAGCTCAGACTTCCATACTAGCATCTAGTTTCAGGCTCATGTTGGGACTAATTACTGCCACTGGGTTTGTCTTGAGCCATCTCACCTGGCGAATCTGCCTCTATATTTCTTTCAATGTGTTCAGACCAAGGGTCGCATCCTAAAGGAATATCACACTAGACCACCAGACCTGTGTCTGAGAAATACCTTTTTTCCCCCAGCACACATTTTCCCATCCATCCATTCATCCATCTCCAGCAAATAACCTTACACAGCTTCCACACTCGGAAAGGTAGATACCGTATCTGTCTACTTTGTCTCCAAATCATAGTCCATAGCCAGCAGAGGGTAAACACTAAAGGAATATTTGTTCAATAAATAAGTGAACAGTTACAAAATGCCCACGATATTGGCATTGTCATACATATATGATGAAGCACAGTCCCTGCCTTCTTGATACTCACAATTGTTTTTCGGATGGCTTTGCACCCCGTCAGAAAAAAATAGATTTCAAGGCCGCTAATGCTCCTTTTATATTCCATTGGCTGGCCGTGTCAATATTGACTGTGTAATGCACTGACAGATGCGCAGTTCCCTTCAGAGAGAAATGAGAAAAAAACCAAACAGCTTCACATCAGGCAAATTCTGATTATTTCCTTCTAAAGTGCACAGCACCTTCAGTCACTAATGGTTGTAAGAGACTTCGGGGACACTAATCTTAATGCGCCATTTCCTACAGGTCTTGTTAGTTCCTAAAACCATCTGTAAGAAGTTATTGTATTTGGCTTTCTTAAGCCGTATTTTTTAAGCACGACATTTAATTAGTGCTTGTTAAGATGTTTCAAGTGCTTTGGCCACTCTCTCACCCCTGCTGTTTCTTCTTGGTCAGCATCTTTTCTGGAAATGATATTTTCGGGAAAGGACATCAGATGCGTCTGTGTCTGGAGAATTGCTCTGTGTATCCACTTGAGGCAAGTCTCTGAGAGCAACTGGAGGGACTGTCAGCCTGTCTGTGGGGCCTCCGTGTTCACAGCAGCTACTTTGAAAGGCCTCCAGTTTTGACATTCTCATGGAAAAAGCTGAGACCTCAAAATGGGTTTGGAACTGGCAACAATAGGAGGGTACACTGGAGCCCTGGAGAAGAATGTCACATAAGCAAAATGTATTTGAAATATTTAATCTAGGAACTTTTGGATTAACTTCACTGAAAAGAGTTTGCTTGAAAGGACATAATTTTTAGTTACTCAAAGAGACCTCATGAAAACTGCAAAATGGTTGATGGTACTGAAATACCCACCCATGCTCACTAAAAGGATACATAGGTTGAATATAATTCTATTATTTTTGCAACTGTTTAATACCATAAAATCAATTAAAATTTCAAACTGCTTTACAAAATAAGACATTTTTACTAAGTTTTTCCCCCAAATTCTTTACCCACATTTGGATGAGAATGGCTTGATACTTGTAGTAGTTTATGAAGTGCAAATTCATGTCAAATCTGGTATATAAAAGAAAAGTATTTCAAGATAATATGGAATCTGTGAAAATGAAGAAATATGTGTATTTAGCTAGGTTAAAAAACACTAATCTACTAGAATAACATCAAATTTTTTTTGAAACACATATTCGAGGAACAAAAAGCTTTATGCCGATCATTGCTTTAATGGTAATTAAATTTTCTTTCTCTTTGAATTTTACTGTACTCTTCTAAGGTAAAGAGGAAGTACAATAAATGTAACATAGAGTTAGCCAAATTATTAATATCCCACATGTAAAGTAATTTCTACTGGAGCCTTTTTTGCCTCTGTAATCTAAGCATTAAAATATATTGAAGGCTTTAGTGAAGGACTAGCGTTTGGCACTGGGTGTCCAAACATTTCCTGCTGGGCCCTCAACCACTATCATGCTTTTTGTTTGGATAGGAGAGAAAGGGGAGAGTAAGGAGTTGAGCTGGCTAACTCTTGACATCTGAAATCTTTATCAGTCACAGAGGTTTTTTTGGTTTGTGTTGATGATTTGTGGTATTGTTGTTTATCTGTATATCATTCACTTGGACTTGCTGTTTAGATGCAAAGATCTCAAGACCATCTGCAGTCTTGATAGGTAGTTGCAGCAGCCCGACCAGACATCTGGCTGTCAGTTACAATTGCATTCCTGCTCCTAAAGTTGTTGTTAGATACTCCTGATTCCCTTTGAATGTATTACCGTGATGCACCACCGTTTCAGGCCATTGATGTGAGAGACCGAGTTAATTCCCGGCTTCGGTCTCGCTAGAACCAAGATTTATAAAATGAACAGAAGTATCAATTTTGCTGGAAGGGTGGCTGTTTTTGTCTGCACTGGGTTTAATGATACATCAGTTTCCTCCACAGCCTGTACAACTGATTCTTTGAACATGGAGAGAAATAGTGCATCCGAAAATTATTTTCACGGTGTTGCCATGTTTACTATTTCCTGTTGTCTTTGCTTGAAAGTGTTTTAACAAAAATTAGGGTTGAGCATACAAACATTTGAGGCAGGGGATGAAAGGTGTTGTTATTATGTTTCCTCTCCAGGTTAATGTGGTTGCCTTTGATTTAAGCACTACATACTTGGGACAGGATATGACACCAATTAAAGACATGAAACTTAATTTTTGGACTAAACAATCACATAATCCTTCTTCTGGTATCTGGTTGAGATTTACTGACATGGCATTTATTTCTCAGTCACAATCCTAAATTTATTGAGTTGGCTTTATTTAAGGTACATGGGGCAACTAGTATTAGTGCATGTAAAAACCTAGCAATGTCCCAAATTGTAAAGCAGCGATTATAAAGAGAACATATTTTTTCCCGATGACTGTCAACATGAGGTCAAGAATGCATGCAAACTCACTCCATGAGCCCTGGGCCCACTCATCTTGGTTGGAGGCAGATTTTGATTTAAGATCTAAATTTCAAAAAAAGAAAATCAATTTTATCTCATAAAATACAACAGGGAAAATTTTTACTAATAACCTCTCCTTAGCCTTAAATTTAAATTGCATTTTTGTTAAGAGAATTTTAGTATTTATTGAAAATCAAGTTTAGATAATAATCACAAAATAATGCATTAATCGTTTAAAAAGATAAAAGGTACTGTATTTGGGTAACACATTTAAATCATAAAATTGAATATTAGTGTTTAATTTTCGTGCAAAAAATAATTAAAATGAAGGCATGCAAGTATAATGAGCCAGATTAACCTCCCCATCTTTCCACTTTGACACCTTGTTTAACTCTAGCTAATGATGCTATGAAAAAAGTACTAGTGGTTTCAGTTCAGCCCCTGGTGGTCTATGTCACATATTGCATAACCTGCTGGTGGGTCTTACAGGGCTATTTCTCATTTACAGACAGTAGCCTTTTATAATTCTGTCTGGAAGTGGGGTTATCACAGAGGGAGGGTGTCCTGTTTTAACCTATTTATTATGCACTTGAAAATAGTGAAAATGTTTATAGAAAGAAGTCAAATTAAATTTTGTAAAACACATTAGTGCATTCACATGTTCAAACCTGAGCCTACAACTCTATACCAACTACTCAAGTAAAGTCATTATACGTAAAAGAAAAAAGTCACTTATGACTTCTACTCCATGTGGAAAATTACCAAAGACTGCAGTTTTTCTAACCATGAACAGTCCCATTTCCCATGTGCAGTTGGTTAGCTCCTCACTGTATCCTCAAGGAGTCTGCATGAGTCTGAAGTACTGCAGAAAAATGAGAATTTTCACACTTTAAAAGAGCCAAGGCAGCATTTGTAATGACAAAAATAAGAGCAGAAGTAAAATAGGAAAGAAAGAGTGGTTCTCGGTTTTCCTTCCCCTCTGTAAAAAGCAAGACCGTGGAGTTTCCAGGTAAGAGTCTACTGGGGGCTTGCTTTTAATTTATACAGGACGTTAGGAAAGAAAAAGAAATAAAAAGAATACCAACTCCCTTAAATTTCCTAGCTCAAAGTTGCTTTCAGTGAATGCTAAAATGAAAGGAGTTATCAAGGCCAAATTCACTATACAGCTTTTGTAAACTGTTAGAAGCAATTTGCAGGACCTGTGCTTTTACGTAGGTTTGCTTTCACTCTCAGCTTGAGTGTTAATTTTTGACTAGTTCTTTCTATCCTTTCGTCAAATGTACACATCCAATTCTTCTGGCATCTCATACACACCACACACACAAACACACACACACATGCATTACACACATAAGCAAATACGTCTAGCCACTTGGTAACAGTATTTTTAAAAGTGGCTTGATATCTGGATTAGAGAGTAGAATACTTTCAGACAACTCTCATGGGCACAATGTGTTAACTGTTTTCTGTGCCACCATTTTATTGTATGCGAGCAGACGGCAAAATGGTGGTTCCAGCATTTTGTTGTATAAGGACTCCTTCACATTCAGCCTCTGATTGAAGAACCAGTTTGTATACCGATAGAAAAGCCAGATTTCTCAGGCTGGGAGACTGACTAAATAAACCATGTACACAAATCTTCTTCCACTCACTGCTTTGCAGATGCTTAACCAAAATTTTACATATATAAGTACAAAGGGAGCAAATCCTGATTAAAATAAAAAATGGAACAGAAATGATATTCCAGTTAAATATATAATTCAGTGGTGTTAGAAAATACATATGTTATTAAAAGACCTTCCAACGTTGCCATAAGTAAACTACCTTGAGAAAAGATCCAACACAGAATTAGCATAGAGAATGTGAATGTTTTACTTGTGCATAAACGATCTTTCCAGATCAAAGTTGAAGTCACTGGCAAGATAGTTTAGGTGAGCTCATTCTACAGTTATTTGCACATGCAAATTGGGGTTCCAATTTAAAAAATATTATTGCTTTTTGTTCATGAGAAGAGCTTTGATTAAATTCTTAAAATAAGAATATGAAAATAATTGAGCAATGTAGCTGTGCTAATAATACTCAGTTTTAATTAGCTCCTAAATATAATCAAAGCTAAAATGGATTTTGACGTACCCTTAACTGGATCTCAAATTGAGGAGAGATGAATTTGACTAAGAGAAGATTTTTACATTGTTGTCTATTACAGCTGAATTACCACTCTCTTTTGTCTGAAGAAAAACATTTTCTTCTCAATGAGGTATATATTTTTAAGACTGAAGACAACTGAAGCTTACAGCATATAGTATTTGGTTAGGTTTTTTTTTTTTGACTGCAGTTGCCAAACATTTGAGATTATAAAAATGATAGTACTACATAAAATAGACCTGCAGCAACACTGTTTATGGCACACGCAACAATATTATTTTCTGCTGTTTGGTGTGCAGGAGTTGTAAATAGGAAAATGTGTAAGCCATTAAATCTAGTAGCAATAGGACTCAAAGCAAGGTTTATTATACCAATGCCTGAAAAGCTTTACTTTTTTATCTCTGTGTGTTAAATTTTCGTGTTTGCAACAGTATTTTAGCTCTGGAGCTATTTATCTGGTAGCATCTTTGAGAAAAAGGAAATGGACAGATGTCCATAAACAAAGGGCTCCACCTGGTGGTAAAGAGGAGGTATGAAATGTTGATAAAGAGAACTAATGCTGCAAAGGCAAACAGATGGAAGAGCAACATTTTGTGTGTGTGTGTGTGTGTGTGTGTGTTGTGTGTGTGTGTCCGATAATGAATATGTTTGAAGGAAAGAGAATGACAAAATCCTCCAAATTTGGATTCCAATGTGGATACAGCCTTACAGCTAACATTATTTGATTATTTCTTTCACAGTCATTCCAATATGTTTACAAATTATTTTATTCAAAATACATACATCTGAACAGATACTAACATATATGACCCTGACAAATACTAGGCACAACTGATGGCAAGCTATCCATATCATCTGATCATCTTAGGTTTTAGTAGAATGCCATCTAGTAGACAGATTTAAACAAAGGAAGTGTTTGTTCCAACATGAGGGCGCCCTTTAGGTGGCTTTGTGGCTCACCTAGTTAGGAATACCTGGAAAGGATGTGGTGCAGAGCTCTGGGGAGGGAAGCAAAGATTTCAAATCCATGAGTAAGAAACAGAACATTGCTCATTTTAAAATATCATCTGTGGCTGAAGTGTTGAAGAATTTGAATCTACGTATTGTGATTCTTCCACCTTTTGAAACTCTAAAATTAGGCCAGGAATTACATATATCAAATACTATGCAAAATGTAAAACAGGCATGCCTTTTATGGCTCTCTACGTAAGGTGGAAATTAAATCTTCAGCCTCCAATAAAATTGTATTTCTGTAATAAAACTGCTGCACCTTGACTCTAGACTACATTGAATCCCAAATTAAACACTCCATTTGCTGTACTGTAACAAGCAAAAGGGTTTGCTACACTGAACAATATTACAGATAGGAAAAACGTATTCTCTTTTGCCTTACCACCTACGTAGAGACCACCAAAACAGGCTAATTCCTCATCTCTTCTTTCTCAGAACACAACATGTTTTGATACAAAAAATTGTAAAATTCCATCTTTCATTGCTAAAATTTATATTTCTTCCTAAATTCTATAAATCAGCATAGGTGACTAGGCCTAAAAAAAAGTCAATCAAGTAGGCTATTTACTACAAAATGTCTACTGCATTTCATAGGTAACTCAGGCTTATAAGCAGAAACAGCTGGTGTGCTAAAGGCTAGGTACATTTCTTTATGCATTATGTATAATTCCCTATAATGTACATGCAACATTCACTCCACATCCGTATCTGAAGTGCACACATACTGCTACATAATCTATGAAAGTTTTAAACTTAGGATCTGCTAATACATATCTATTTATCTCACCCAGTGTTGATTTAGAAGAATTAGACCGGATGTTATTTTAAGCAGTCTAACTCTATAGGTTCTTTTTCCCCCACCATGTCATGACCCAGTCAACACTGACTTCTGGCCTTCGTAAAGTGTCTCTAATAGAAATGAAAGCCTACCCAGGCTGAGGAATAGAAAGCAATGAATACTAATGTTGCATCTTCTTAACTAAAGTGCAGGCGAACAAGACAGGAAGCTGTCGGTGCCTCTCTGCCTCGGCCGTCCTCCCTCGGCTCTGCCAAACCACCCTCTAGTGGACTGAGGGGGGAATTTCCTTTCCTGGTTGCCTCACTCTGCTATTCATTTAATAAATAAGCTCCCCTCCCCCTCTCTCAGGAGATGGTGGATATTATTAACCTTCAAGCACGACACAGCGAGATGAATGTTAATCATGAAGGGATTTCTCATCAAGTTTAATGGTGTAAGACATAGAGAAGTTGTGTTAGCAGTTTCAATCCTGCTAAAAATGCTAATTGTTATGTTTCATATGATAGGTGAGGATAATAGGAAAACTGCAACAGCTTTAGCGTTTCCATTTGGAAGTTGTTGCCCATAGTTTTGAGGCAAATATAGAGGAAAAGAATACGGTCCTTAGTATGAATGACTTGTCAAGAGGCTAATTTAGGGCTACTTCTTTGGAGACATTGGAGATTTGAGGCTTGACATCCACTGAGCTCAAGTAAAGAGAATTTTTTGCTGGGAGGAATTAAAGCCAAAAGAAGACATTTTGGACCTAGAAAGAACATAAATCTGTGGTAAGGGATACAGAGGTTATAGTGTTGAGTACTGATCTTTTGAGCACTATCTTCTGCATTTTTCTCTGCGTTTCACTGGCACTCTTGCCAACATGTAGAAGTAATCTTTTTTTAAAGCAGTTATTTCATCCTGACCTAGGAATCATAATAAGTGCACTTAGGCGTCCTAGATAAGCCCCAAGAGAAATGCCATTTTTGTTTTTCTCAGCATGTCCCTTTCCTTGCCCCATGAGTTGTTACCCATGCTGTGGCATAAGGACACCTTACTGTCCCCAGCTTCAATGACCCCAGTCTTGCAGAGTTGGCTTCTCATGCAGCTCAGTTGTTTGTCCTGGTCCCTAACTGTTTGAGCTGGGGTTCTTTTGGGGCACATACACACACAGAAGTGGGGAGTCTGGAATGTTATATGAGCAATGTCTTCAGTGTATACTTTTACTTGACTTTGATTACCTTAAGTTCTATCACTCAACCCTAAACTTCTATGGTAGCTCATGGTGTTACCTACAAATGAACTGGAAAGCATTTTGCTGCAAGGAAGCTTATCAATTGAATGTGGGCCTTGAAAAATTTCCTTGTAATTTCATAGTTTATGTGTTCAGTTTAACTTTAGAAAGCATCTAAATGATAAATGCAAATTCAAAAATAATCCATTAAGGATATGAGCCTATGTGGATACGGACCTTTTAAACTGTATTGTCCCAGTTTTCATATGTAGCCTTTGTCATCATTTTTTTTACAGACTCCTATAAAATGGAGTCAACATAGAGAAGATATGTGATTCTCCAGGTGCTAACATGAGATGTGATATCAACGACCAGTATTATTTTCCCATCAATAATGATAATTATACTAATTAGTCCAGGCATCACACCTGTGTAAAATCCTTATCCCTATTTTACAGATGAAGTCACTGAGACACCAAAGGTTAATTGCTTGCCCAAAGCCATGTAGCAACTTGGTGAGTACCAGTATTTAAAATCTTACACTCTTGCTTCCTTAACAATGGAACAAAATTATTGCTTGTATCACAGGAGATTGGTGTCAGTGAACAATGGAGCAAAGGGGTCACATATTGCTTGTTTTAAAATTGTAGACTCTCTCATATTAATGGAGTCCTTTACTGTGTTTTCCAGGTTGAAGTTACTTTAGTGTCATAAAGCTCCACATATATACTTTTAGCAAAATCAGTAGTCACCCCATGCAGATGAAGAGATGGTAATTAGAGATGGGACAGACCACAACATATCCTTCATTTGAAGATAGAATAAATTCAGCGAGATACCTAATTATTATCATCTACTTTCACAAAAACATATGTGATTTTTTCCCCCTACCCAAATGTTTTAGTGAAAACTGCAACTGTGCATTAAAAGGCAGTTTTGCATGCATATATTCAGAGAACAATGTGGAGAATCTATCCCTTGGGATAAAAAAAACACCCAGCAACAACAAACTTGAAAACAGATGGTTCTGATACAGTCCGATAAGAATGTAAACAGGAAAATCTTTGTTGACTTATTTCATAGTAATCAGTAATAATTAGTTATTGTCTAGAGGTGAATTACAGATTTCACAAGCATGGCCACGAACAGCCTCTGAAAAGTGAAGCTAAATTTGTGACATCAGTGAGGAATTACTGACCCCTGCCAACCCTCCTTATTAACATTTTTCTTGATTGACATAAAGGAATGAAATCTTGGAAGAGGATAATTTCTGCGTTCTTTGTTTTTTCTTTTGTCATCATTTGATCATTTGATTTAGAGATATTAGACCCCTCTGACTAATCCATGAAAAAGAACTTAAAATTTCTCTACAGCTTAGAGAACTAAAGCTCTCCTTCCTTCCTTCCTTCCTTCCTTCCTTCCTTTTTCCCTCCCTCCCTTCCTTCCTTCCTCCCTCCCTGCCTTCCTTCCTTCCTTTCCTTCCTTATTTGAGGTGAGGGTGGGGCTTTTTTCTTAGATGAAGATAAAATATTTCCTCTTTAGAGTCTGTACTGGTGTTTCTATGTTCTCGTTGCATTTTTTGTCAAAGACTTCCTCTCCTGGTGGTTATTTAGATTCAGTAAACATCTAATGAATACTTCCTACTTGCCAAGCCCTGTGCTAGGCACTGAGATGAATCGAACATACTTTCTTCTTTTATGGGATCCACAGTTTAGTTGGAGAGGCAGGTTTGTAAATAACTAACTATCTCCCAGTTTGTTAAGAAGTAGGCAAGGGCTGGGTGCCATGGCTCATGCGTGTAATCCCAGCATTTTTCGGAGGATCACTTTAGCCCAGAAGTTTGAGACCAGCCTGGGCAACAAAGTGAGACTCCATCTCTTTAAAAAATAAAAATAAAAAAAGATTAGCTAGGTGTGATAGTGTACGCCTGTTGTCCCAAATACATGGAAGGCTGAAGCAGGAGGATCGCTTGAGCCCAGGAGATTAAGGCTGAAGTGAGTTATGATTGCACCACTGCACTCCAGCCTGAACAACAGAGCAAGACCCTGTCTCAGGAAGAGGAAGAGGAAGAGGAGGAGGAGGAGGAAGGAGGGCGGGGGAGGGGGAAGGAGGATGGGGGGAGTGAAACACAGAGGGAGGAGGATTGCCAGTGAAACACAGAGAAAAATGTAGAAGCTAGAAAAATGTAGAAGATAGAAAGGGAGGAGGAGGAGGAGGAAGGGGGGAAAGGAGGAAGGGAGAAGGAAGGAAGAAGGAGAAGGAAGGAGGAAGAAGAAGAAAGAAAGAAGTGGGAAAGATGGCATGGAGAGGAGTCAGGAGAAGGACTGAGCCTTTGTGGAGGAGATATTAGACCAGGTATTATGTAGTGCTATTACCAAGTCCTGACTGCAAAGATCACCAGGCTGTTGACTATGACACCCTGAATGAATAATGAACATTTAAATTGGTGGCCAATTCTTTGGATCAGGTGATTGTACACCATCAGTTGTGTGGGTAGCATGCAGACAAGATCATGGTATCCTGCCATGATCTAGAAGTTTGGAGAGGTGCCCTTCTTTTACAATACTTGTAATAGAAAATTTAGGCTGTACTCCTCCATGATAATGTGCCTTTGGAAAGAGTAGTCCCTTCTTTAATATGTAATTCAGCCATCTGAAAATACTTGTTATTAAAATAAACTAATACAAAGAGTCTATGACAAATAGTCTAGGCAGTACATCCTGGAAGCCCTTGGCTTTTATTCAACAATATTCAAGAGCTATTTAGTCAGTGCTTGTAACTTGTCAGACACTACTAGGCATGTGAATTAAGAGAATGAATGCTCTATGTAACTTCTCCTCTGTAGAACACAGAATCTGGTTGGGAAGGACAATATCAAACAGAAAATTACCCAAATTGTTTATTAATGAAAATGTGATAAGTGCTGTTGGAAGCAGTAAATGCCGTTGTTTTGTCTACCCTGATTCTATTCTTCCAGTGACAGCATCTTGATTTTGTTTTTGAGAACTATCCTTCACCATTGCATGCAACCTTGATGAGACTCTTAGTCGAGGGGCTCTGCCCCTAGCTTGTGATTCAAGCTGGGCCAGTAAGATGCCGTTTTCCAGTAATGAGTGCGCTCTCTCTCTCTCTCTCTCTCTCTCTCTCTCGTTTCATAGTATAAAGATCTTCAAAGTTTGTATTTATGTTGGTCAAAAGTAATTGCATTTTTTACCATTACTTTTAATGATTAATCCTTCGCTTTTCCTTTCAGTTGAGAGTGACCCTTACATCCTTCCGACAAATTTCTTAAGTTTATCTATTAAGTTAACTGCTTGTAACCAGTTGTAGTATTTATAGCACTGCCTAAAAATCCAGGACTCAAATAACAAGTAAACTAAATTGTGGCATGATTTTGAGAGTTTGTTAGAGTTTAAGAGAATGCATTTTACTGACCGTGATGCTTGGAACATTCTATTTTGAACAGCATGAGTTGGTGACATAGGATTAATTTTCTTCTTGTGTCTGTAATAAATAACATTTCCATAATATCAGTAGTCATAATATCTATAAAACAAAATATAAATATTATAAACTTTGACAGTATAGAGCTATACCCTGACAGAAGTCCAGAGATGGTGAGGTGTGTTAACTTTCTTATCTGAGAGTATTAAGGTCAATAACTCTTTTCTAAAGCTGCTAGATCCAGAAATGAATACATCTATCCAACTGAAGAACTAAAAAGTCATGAGCTAAACCAAATTGGGGAGCAGGTGGAGAGGGAAGGAAGGCATATAAATGAGTGAAATTCTTCACCTTAATGCAGAGAAGTCAGTGGGTACTGACTACCTAAGACTGAAAAATCAGGAGAGAGAGATGCAGGCATAGTATTTATTTGAAGTTAAAGTAGAAACCACTGGAAGGAATGAAACGTAAATTTATTAATAATGACTTCCTTTGGAGAATAGATGGTAGGAGAAGGGTCTAGATAGAGGGTATAATTTGACACAAACTTGGCTGCAGAAGATCTGGCATTCCAGAAATATATGCGTCATTAACCTAGTGATGGCATTAAGGAAGTGATATTATCCTGGGCTGTGTTAAGACGAGTATTATTTGCAGCTAGGAAATAACCCTTGTGTCAAATTTATTGTAGGTTGGGCTTTAATTTGAATATTACACTTTGGGTCTGTAACTTAAAACATATGCGGGAAAATTGCATAGAATCCACGTATAGAAGAGGAAAATGATGACAGGAATTGGAGACTGTGTACACAAGGAAGGGAGGTGGGTTGTTTTTTCTGGAGAAGAGAAGGCTGAAGGGAGACAAAATTAACAACCTATGGACAGTGAGGTGGAACTCTGGAGAACACCAGTCAACCTTCTCCATCTCACTGGACTGAACAGAAGAAAATGGGTTTAGACTGCATCAGGAGAAAGTCTGTTTTTAACACACAGAAAGACTTGATGACCTGTGGTTGTGACTGAACATGGGAACAGGATACCCTAAGAACTTTTGGAGTACTTTAGGAATAAGATAGAAATATTCATTTTTATAATAAGGGTTTGTATTAGACTTGAGGACCCTTTAGATATAACAATCACATTCTATAGTTAGATGTCTGTGAACTTACATATGGAGAAAGGTTAATGATCAAGTGGTCTAAATAGTCTCACCTTGGCTGTGGTTCCCAGGTAATATCTCATTAGGGGAAAAAAATCAATATTCACATTTTTTTTTCTTTGAAGTACTATGCTATCTACTGGTTCTTTTAAAATATATATGCATGTACATATATATAACTTTATATATCATATTTCAAGGGAAATTCATATAGTCTTAGGAGCAATAGTTATCAAATTCAAAGTTTGCACCATTAAAATATTCATGGTTTATTTTTCTAACAAAAGCAATTAAGATTTTGATGCTGAAAATCTTCAAAAACACAGAAAGCACAGGAAATATCTTTTTTTTTTTTCATTAAAACATGAGCAAGCAAACGAAAACACACAAACAAATTTGGACCTGTCTTATCATGACTGCTGCTAAGGTGGTCCAGCTGGGTTTCCCTGTAGCCAGAATCTGGTCCCCTACGCTCATTCTTTCAGGAAGGAGGTGTGAGTGCCTGATTAGCTGTGTCTTTATCTTTCCTCCTCACTGCAATTGGATCTCACTTACCCAGTCTCTGACACTTATGTCTTGAAACAATTATTAGAAATGTGGTGATGGAGTATTGACTTACCTGACACGTAAGTCGAGGTTAATCCCTTTTGAAAGCTGGTTGTATAATCTGTGCCTAGGCAGCCGTGGCTCTGGCACATTTAGTTAAGACACTAACACTAACATCTAGATGTTGGTTCAGGCATTTGTATTCAACACCTGGATAGGATTCTTCAACTTTGGTCTTTGGGTCTGAAGAAAACCCCTATCTACCTAAAGCTCATAGTTGCTTGAGATTTGGTGTGGGAGGGCAGAAAGGGAGGAGTGAAGGGAATGACTGTTGGTTCCTTAATCAATAGAGGCTGCCACAACAGG